GCCCTGCAAGGGGCCACTGTGCTAGCTGCAGTTCAGGGAAGAGCCCAGGGCTCGTAGAGTGGCTGGGAGGATGCGAAGGAGAGAAAGGCTGCAGGATCCCACCCTGAGGAGGGCTCGATAAGTCCAGGTCTCATTCTCCTGACCCATCATGTAGACAGTGGCCCTGGTTCTCTAGGTTTAAGAATTAGAACGTTGGGACTGGTGGGAGTTCCTCCAGGAGCACTCTCCAAGCAAGGACACCATCACCAGCCCTGAGTTCTCCTAACTAACGATGCCACCATGTAAGAATCAGTACAGGCACAGCCTGTGGAAGCTGTACAGAGCATACACACATTACTCCATTTAAACCCTGTGACAATTCTGGGAACTGGGTAAGAGAAATGTTACCATCTCATTCTCACAAAGGAGAGAATAAGACCAGTGATGTTCTCCTTGATTGTCTCAGAGCTATAGAGGAATTAATGTGGAAAATTTTAATTTGTTTCTGTGCAAAAACAAAGTAATTTAGAAAATATTTCCTTAAGTAGAGACCCAGAGTACAAAAATAGGGTTATGGGCTGGGGAGATAGCGTGGTGGCTTAGGTGTTTGCCTGGCAAGCACAAGGTCCTGAGTGCAATCCCCAATACACATGCTGTGCTGGCCCCAGAAACTCAGGCAAGCAGTGTCAGCCACCCAAACTGGGTATGGTAGTGCACATCCGTAATCCCAGCCCCGTAATCCGAGCTGAGACAGAAGGATCACTATGAGTGTGGACTGCATCACAAAGTCCTGTATCAAAAAAATACATTTTTAAAAAATATGCTTTGGGTCTGTTGGTCAAAATTAATACATGTGAATTTTACTTTCTTTTATAGTCTGAAAAAAACCCAATCTGCCAACTATGCTTCATTATTTCCAAGAGCCTTCAAAGTCTTGAATTTTTCTTTCTCACACAATGAGGCCACCAAGCAAATTAAAGCCACCAATTTCTGTTCTTTTAGCTGGAGACACAATGGCCAGAGGTCCTGCCTGGTCTTTGCGGATAGTAGATGATCTGAGAGCAGGAGCGACACCACACTGTGGCTCTGCCCTCAGCCCAGCAGCCTCCACTCCAACCCTTCAAGACAGAGTTGTGGGGTGCGCTCCTCACACACAGAGCACGTACCAGGAGAGGAGTGCTTTTCGATTCGATTCAGATGGGGAGCCAGTAGCTCAACATTTCTGATGGGAGTCAGGGGGCCAGGATAGAGGGATAGAAAGCTGAGGTTTTCTTCCAGAGGGGAATGGGGACCATTTCTCACCAGACTAAAGAACTCCCTAGGCCCTAATCAGTTCACATTATGAGGCCATTGATTTTACCATGCATAAATACATTTAGTTTGTGTATTTTTATCACCTGTCAGAATTCACTTTAAACAAGGGAAAATAAGTACTGGCCTTGCTGCTCACTAGTGTGGGTGCAGGGAAACACTGCCAAGCGAAGAGGCACAGATCAGGAAGACGAGGCTCTGAGTCTCGGTCCTCACACAGAGCCGAGCTGTGCTGGAGCACACTGCTCAATGTCTTGGAGCTCTGATTTTCAGGTAAGGAAGAAAGGTAATATCTCTTTTCTAAAAAGTGTGATACAAGAACCCTGGAAGGCCAAGCAGAGACGCCTGTAGGTCCAGCCCCACGTCAGCCATGGACTCCAAGCACACACGGGGATAATCTGACAAATTCCTCCATGCCTTGGTTTTCTTCCCAGCAAGTCAAGCCGTTTGTCTTTCAATCTTAAGGTTTGAGGACATAATTTAGGTTTAAAACAAGACAAACCTTGTTTGGCAAATAACAAATTAATTAAGCAAATATATTAATGCCAATGTGAAATATACTACAGTATTTTAGCTGGGATCAAGTATCATTTCAGATTAAACTCTGAAGGAATTCTCCTTTCCTGCTGAAAGAGGGTAACCATTATAGGGTTTAATTCTGGCCCGGCCGCCTACTCAGCAGGCCCAGGGTTGCTCCATCCCTCCACGTAGGGGCCACTCTGGGTGTGTGGCGACTGTCCCCCTCCTCTGCTCCAGGGCTAGAGCTCATAGGTGCAAGGTATCAGGACCAGCTTGCTCCCTGCTGCAGTAGGGAGGGTGCTGCTGCAGCGGGAGTGAGGACAACCAGACACACATGAAACATGGAGCTGCCTGCAACCTCACTGCCACCAGGGCAGTGACCAGAGGAGACTGCAGAGGAAAGGCATGCTGCCCGATGACACTATGATCTCCAAATTAAACCGTGGCCTGAGCGGGCAGACACATGGTGTCTCGTTAGGTGAGGGGATGGACTTTCATGGTCATGAGCTGGGTTTTCTGCTCTTAATGGTAGTTTGTTCCTGGTCTTTTCATAGTTTAACTGTAAGGGCATTTCATTCGCCCTGTAAAGTTCAGTTTTCTCATCCACAGTGAGGAATACTGTAACCTTTACATACAGGGCTTCACTGAGGTGCAAGAATGCTTGACAAACTCCTGGCACTGTGTTCAGTACAAAACAAGCCCTCAATAAAATGGCGCCAATCTGGAGCTCCGCAGGGAATATGGTGATGAAATGAGTGCCCATCACTCAGTCATCACATCCACCACTGAAGGCTCACTGCCAGATTTAGAAATAAGGGTTAGCATTCAGGTAACCTGTCTAGTGTATCACAACTACCATGGGGCAGAGATTTCATAGTATGATTCTCTCTAACATGATGTCAGATGATAAATGTTGGTGGTAAATAAAATATTAACTGAATTCCTATAATGTGCAAAGAACTATTACGAGGTATTAGAAATACAGAGGTAAACACACACATTGTGCATACATGTGTGCATGCTAGTAGGCATTGAATCACTGAGCTACCTCTCAGCTCTTTTTTGTTGTTTAAGAGGCAAGATTTCACATTAGTTGTCCTGGCTGGGCTCAGATTTACAATCCTCCTGCCTTAGCCTCCCCAGTATCTGGATTACAGGCATAGGCCACCATGTCCCGCTACACATTCTATTTTAGTTTCAGAGGATATAATCTCTATCTAAATTACGAGATTAAGTTTATTCCTCAAATTTACTAGCCTCCTGCTAATAAGTGACTAACCAGTCAACATCTAAATCCTATAGGCTGAGGAACAACAGTTCTACAACTAAATGCAGAACGTAGTACTCACATAACACTTAAAAGTATACAGCTTACCTTCAAATGGTTAATTTTAATAAAACCCTGAGCCAAAATGTAACATTTCTTTTGTATTTGACTCTATGGGTTAAAAAACCCACCTTTTACACATGTGCTATGAATGTATTATCTCTGTTATCTTTGGTCTAACATGATGTCAATTTGTATGTTTTCTAAGAAGTCTGAACAACACAATTAGATGTGACAATGAGATGGAAGAAAAACAGATCAGGGTTTCCACACATTATTTTCTTAGGAAATCTGCAGGGAAATCAGCGTGCTTTACTGGTTAGCTCTAAGTGACATTCTCCAAATATCTTTGGATATTACATAGAACCTCTTACAAAACTTCAATCACCAGAAGTGTAAAGGAGGAGGACAGAATATAGAATAGTTCCTAAGAACCTCTCCTTTACCAATGTTGTCGTCTACACAGGCTAATAATTACCTTACATGCAATATGTACTAAGCCATAAAAACATAGACTCTGAGTATCTTCTCAGAAACCAGGCAAATATTCTGTAAATATTGAAGTAGGTAAAATATATAAACTGAACAGAAACCTTATGGACTTCCACAGACAGGGAGAGACTGCTCTCCTCTTCGTACTCACCAGGCTCTCAGATTTTGACAGGAGAGTCTGAGGAAGAATATTTGGACAACCATTCTGCAGACAACACAAGAGCTCTGACTTTATAATTACATTTACCTTTACTAACATCATCCATGGGGAAGCTAACACACTGAGAATTGATTTGTTCCTTATCTTTCATAGTTTAGTCTTCGATACACAAGAGTTGTGGCAGATGGACAGGAGAGTGCTCTGAGAGGTACAGCTTTGCTCTTTCTACGTGAGACACTGGACATGTAACTTAACCTCTCTAATGGCTGTTTCTTTTTCTTTTTTTTTTTTTTTTTTTTTCAGAACTGGGGATTGAACTCAGGCCCTTGCGCTTGCCAGGGAAACGCTTATGACACTGAGCCATCTCCCCGGCCCCTAATGGCTGTTTCTTGGTATGAGAAAACGTATTTCATAAGATTATAGAATAAATGAAGCAAATGAAGCTCAACTCATCGTACATACCCAGTAAATAGCTTCCCCCCCCCTTAATTATGTAAGAAAGTATTTAATACAAATGTTACATGGGAAACGTTCCTCTTTAGAACTAGTTGTAACTTAACAATCACTAGACTTCACCATTCGGTAGTACAAAAATAGTAATGTTATGAGTTTACTTTCATATCTAAATAGTGCACTAATTTATGAGTATTATAGCTGTTCTTCCATTGTCTTCACATGGTACCTCCTGAGGTCTTCCTGCTCAGGAAATGGCCTTTAGGGCTGTAAGCTGTCCTGGCCCCCTGGTGGAGCCCTCAACGAGCAGTGCCTGTCCTGAGAACACCAGCCAGTCCTCGCAACTGCAGTACTGGTAAGGAGCTAAGATGACATGATTTCTATTTCAACCTCAAGAACACACTGTGACAGCACAAACAGGATCTTCTCTCCCCACTCTGCTGCTTGCTGTCACTGGGGCCACTTGTGCCTCAGCATGAAAATAGCTTCTTCCATTTCGCTGACAGCCCTTGCCCCCTCATCCACAGGCGAAGACCAGGAAATCCTCTATCCCAAGGCCCCAGTGTCCACATAATCCTCCCCCAGTGCAGACCACTTTCCACAGACTGCTAGTTTCGTGTTTCATTGTAGCCCCCTGGACCCAGCAGTCCAGTTTCAGCTCAGCGATGAACCCTGTACACCAACAGTAACTGCACCTTCAGCTTTCCTGTCCACAGGGGCCTCCCTCCCAAACCAGAAAAGCAAGTATAAGAGAGTAAAGACGTGAAACGTACATTTATTCTGTGACAGTTTCCTCATTGAAGGTATTTTAAAACAGATCAAAATATATCAATATTTCATCAAAAATAAATACCTACAAGAATTTGGATAATACAGTATCTGTAATAAACATGATTTAACCCTGAACATCCATTTTTTTAATTTCAAACATCATTTTTCTTTAAAGTAACATAAAAGTGGTAAAGATTACTGTATTCTTCACATATTCTGAGTCTCATAAATTTTAATTCAACTCCTGGTTTGCTTCTCAACTATGTATGTTAATGGTATTTGCTCCTGTTTTTGAGTGAGAAGAGGATCCATTTTCTGTTTCTTCACAGTGGTATTTCGGTCTTCTTTTTCCAATTCTTGATGAAAACGCTTCATGCTCAGTTTGAACAGTAATCGAGGATCTGGTCCAGAAAGTGGTGGGCAATTACAGACCTCTCTAATATTCAGAGCCTATGAAGACAGAACACAAGGCAGTTTCTGATACGATCTAAACAAAAATTAAGTATAAGATTACATTCTTTAGTTCTATACTAAAATTCATCTTCATCACAACACATAAGAGAACTAGTGATAATTACTTCTTGTCACTTGCTCAAATAAGTACTTTAAAACAAGAGTGACTATCTGTTGCAAATAACAACTGCTCTGTCAAGGATAAACAAGTCTCAGAGAGAGCACTGTCTTCCCAGAGGTCTGGCAGACCCTACAATGACCACTCAGATTAGCAAAGACCAGAAGGCCTATGAGGTTACATTAAGACAGGACAATATACATCAGAACACACTGAGAAACAATACACATAGCTGAACACCTTGGGTTGAACCGATGGTAATAACCTAAAAAAGGAAACAAAAATAAAATGCAGTAGGGGGAGGAAAAACAATCACAGAACACCACATGATTCAGCTGCAAACTCTGTTCTCTTTAAAACACCAGATCTTGATCTTACCACAAATCAAAGTCTGATTATTTGGAGACGGCACTGCTGGACAAGAATGTCTGCATGCGCAGGGCATGGCAGTGGCTAGGAAGGCAACTTAAGTCTGGTCATCTGGACTGGAAAAGAGAGAAAACCTAAAGCTGCAAACTTAAACTTAGGCAATATCAATGTAAGAATGCTGACACATGGTGGGAAAACCAACAATGTCATGCAACAGAGCTGACAAGTTACCACCAAAAGTGAGGACAGGGCGGGTGACTGCTGCTTTAAGTAACTTGCCTTAAAGAACAAGGTAACTCTTCAAAGTGGGTTACTTTAAAATATTAAATTTTTAATATGTATTAGTATAAGTTTGCAGTGTCCTGTACGCATATAGTCTGCAATCATTCTTAGGAGTACATGTAACTAATACAACTTGTTTCTTTTTAAAATTTCACTCTCTTTCTCTCCTCTTCCTCTGTCCTCCTCTAATTCCCTTTTTCCCTTTTCATTCTGCTTGACATTAATAATTTTAGCTCATGTTTGTGACATACAATGTGCACATTCTGGGAAGATAGCTCAGTAGAATAAGCACTTGCCTGGCAAGCATAAGGTCCTGAGTTCAATCCCCAGTACCACAAAAATAAAAAAGATGCAATCACAATGTGCATATTCACTGAGCCTGGTAGGTTTCTATATATGGCATGTCTTTATTCTTCTCATTTCCCCTTCCCTCCCCATGTTCTTTCACCCATATTCTCTTGGACCCTTTCCTATTTGAAAGATATTCATTTCCTTGACTCCACCCATCATTTCTTTTCCTTTGCCTCACTCAAATGAGGTATGTATTGAAGCTTGTGTGTTTGGGTGATTTCATTAACATTATATTTTTCTAGGTGCATCCATTTTCCTACAAATGTCTCAAATTTATCTTCTATAGCTGAGTAGTATTCCATTATACATGTCAGAATTTCTCTATTCAATCATCTGTGATAGGTATACACTCTGCTTCCAGAATTTAGCTATTATGAATTATGCTGATATAAACAATGTTATGCATGTCTTATGCTCTTTGGGAAAGATACTGAGAAGGGATAGCTGGGTCATATGGAATTTCTAATTTTAGTTCTTTGAGAAATCTCAACACTGATTTCATAATGGTTGCACTAATTTACATCCCCATCAATCATGTAGGAGGGTTTCTTTTTTACCCCAGCCTCACCAGCATTTGTTGCTTTTTGATTCCTTAATGACTGCCATTATTTTCGGTATACAGCAGAATCTTAATATTGTTTAAATTTGCACCTCTGTAATGGTCAGAGATGTTGACTATTTTTTCATATACAATTATACTTTGGACTGCAAGTAACTTTTTCTGCAAACAAGCTAATATTTCCAATAAATTTTAGTTGGATAAATGAGCAATGTCTTGTATACAAGTGGTATATAACACTAAGTATAACACGATCACAACTGAGCCAAAAGTTCTTCTTTCTCTCCCTCTCTCTCTTCTTCCCTCCCTGCAGGACTGTAGGTGACTGTATTCCCAACAGCAAGAGGTTATGAAGAAGACATCATGTGCAGGGGAGGAAAAGAAAAAGCTGCAGGAATCTCTCACCTAAAATGAGGTTAGGGAGATGTGTAAAATGGAAACAGTACAAAATTTTGTGGAAAAATCCCCCCCAAATAAGCCTATAACAGTGTGAGCAATGGATCTATTTAACAACAATGAAATGCCACAATTCCCCCAAATCCTCAAACTCAAGAAAAACCAAGTGTCACTGGATAGGTGTTTCGTTAAAGTTGCAAGGAAAGACTCCATTGAGCCAACAGACAACAGTGATTCTGTTAGTGACAGTGAAAACTATCCTACACAATAACCCTTCTTTCTGATCTCCCAATCAGCCATTAAGGTTTTCAAAGTGTAGGTTAATTTATTTTCTTTCATATTTTGTATTTTTTATTATCTTATATTATATTACTGTACTGTAATAACTTCTACCTGAATATTTTTGAGTTGAGGAGTGAATTATCTGAGTTTCTGCTATTTCTTATGGGGAAATCTGCTCTGATACACAAGTCCTTTGGATTATAAGCATGTTTCCAGAATGAATTTTGCCACCAAAGCAAGGTTTTGCTGTATTTGCTAGCCATTTGTATTTCTCCCTCTATAATCTAATTTGCCCATTTCTTGGCTAGCTCTTTTACTTTAAGTGCTCTAATTTGTTCTAAAACATTCTAGATATTAGCCCTCTATCTGAGGAAAGCAGGTAAATTTTTTTCTCATTTTATAGGTTGCCTCTTCAGTCTAATAATTGATATTTCTGCTATACAAACTGCTCACCCCATTTGTTGATTCTTGTTGTAAAAGAAATACTGTACAACTGGGATTCTGTTTAGAAAATTGTTTCCTACACCAACGACTTCAAGTATTTCGTCTATTAGTAAGTTTAATGTTTTTATTATAATGTTTAGATCTTTGATTCATTTTAATTTAGTACATGGTGAGAGACATATGTTCATTTTCCGTCTTCTGCAAACAGTTATCTAACTTTCCTAGCACTTGTTGAATAAGCCAGTTTTAAAGAAAAACGGCAGTATTTAGGAAGTTTTGAAAGAAAGATATATAGGAGGCAAAGCTCGTACTTAGGATTTTTTAATGGTAGTGTATCTTATGGAATTAAGGAAGGAAAAAGACAGTAAGAATTTGGGGGCCACACAAGGCTCCAATGGTAAAGATTTCAGGGGGAAAAAGGCCTACAGATAGTGACAGAAGAGAACCTCTAGCAACCTTGAGGAAGAATACTCTGAGAAGGAGCAAGAATGTAAGAGAGGTGGGTGTGTACCTGAGGTGCCCCCAGTAGAGACTGGTACAATGAGCAGCATAGGCTACAGGGCAGGAGGAGACTAGAAATTTACAGGTCATAGTATGCACATAGGTTATATGCTGAACAGGCCTGCCTCTATTACTTATGAGTGCACAGCAAGAAGGCAAATAGAGGTCCAGATATGTGTCTAAGTATCTAAAAGCTATGATTTAAGGTCATAAACTACTGTATAAAATGTTCTCCTGCTTTGAAGAATAGCCATCCAAAATTACCTGCTAGTAGTCCTAGCCCAAGCCCAGTGAGGGTATGGGAGAGCTTCCCGCTACCCTGCGCCTGCGGGACCTGCTGGTTCCAACCCAGCACAGCGTGGGTGAGACCCTTTTCCACCCCCTTGGGATACCCCCGACCACTCTGCAGCACCTCCCCTACCCCACCCGCCGAGTAGGAATCTCTGCCGTGCTCCGGGAACCCCGAGACCCAGTCTTAACCCAGGCCCAGTGACTGTGTGGGAGAGCTTCCCGCTACTCAGCGCCAGCAGGACCTACTTGCCCCAGCCCAGGCGCAGCGTGGGTGACTCCCTCCTTCACCCTCTTGGGACGCCCCCCATCACTTCGTAGTACCCCCACACACACCCTGCCCACAGAGTAGGAATTTCTGTCGCGTTCTGGGAACCCCCAGATCCAATCCTAGTCCAGGCCCAGTGAGTGTGTGGGAGAGCTGCCTCTCCCCCCTACTCTACCTTGTTCCCTCCAGACTCAACTCAGGCCTGGCATACAGGCCTGGGGTGAAACCCTTCAGCTGCAATCCCTGTAGAGTGTGTACGGGACAGAACTATCCAGCTAGTCCAGGATCAGAACATCTTGCTAGAGGGCACAATAGGTTCACCCCCAAGGGCAGCAACAGGAACTCAGCACAGCAGCCAGACGCAAGCCAGGCACAGAAGGATAAATCCAAACTTTGTAGATCTACACCTGATTTTAAGCAGGTGCTAAGGCTGTAACTGCAACAAAGATCTACAACAAAGGTCAGAAGATGGTGCTACACAAAATGACAAAGAGAAGGAGCAAAATGCAATATCAGACCACAAGCCCACCCATAACAAGTACAGAGGACACTAACACAAAACAAATTGGGAATCACACAGCTGAAAGCAATGAATCAGTGCCTTCTGAAATAAAGAAACAGCTGCAAAAAGGTATAGAGGAACTCAAAATGGAAATGAAAAAAGAAATCCCTGAATTAATAACATCTGCAGTAAAGAATGAAATACAGAAACATATGGAGGAAACACATGCCCACCCAGAACAAGTGCAGAGGACACTAGCTCAGCTCAAATGCATGAATTAATAGCGTCGATAGTAAATGAGCAACAGCAGAAAGTCATAGAGGAACTCAGAGTGGAATTCTTTCCTACTAGCTCAGCTCAAATGTACGAATTAATAGGGTCGATAGTAAATAAGCAACAGCAGAAGCTATAGAGAAACTCAGAGCGCAATTCTTTTCTGAAATAAAAAAAGAATTCAGAGAACTCATAGCATCTGAAGTAAAGAATCAAGTACAGAAACATAGGGAGGAAACCCAATCTGAAAAAAAACACTGCAGTAAAAGAATTTATAACTGCTTCCAAAGAAGACATTGATAAAAAAAAAAAATAGAGGAGATTAGAAAAATGACAGATTCCTTGAATGAGTAATAAAGGAAAG